AGATCCACCTAGTTAAGTGATTGGGCTGAGATCCTCCTTGTTCAGTGGTTGGGCTGAGATCCACCTTGTTCAGTGGTTGGGCTGAGATCCACCTTGTTCAGTGTGTGGGCTGAGATCCTCCTAGTTAATTGATCGGGCTGAGATCCACCTAGTTAAGTGATTGGGCTGAGATCCACCTTGTTCAGTGGTTGGGCTGAGATCCACCTTGTTAAGTGGTTGTGCTGAGATCCACCTAATTCAGTGGATAAAGCATTCTTGCTGTTTTCTTTGTCATCTTTATATAAACACTCACTAAATTTTGTAATTTGGATTCTAGTGAATTTAATAGTTTGCCTAATGCAATGCATGGACGATGATCCCTGGCTCAACAACTATAACAACATGGGAAGCCTTGAAAGTACCCCCTCCCCTCCTCAAATCCAGAATGAGCCGTTCCGAAACTGCTGAAATTACGCTAAGAAAAACATATAGTCCACAGGTTAAGATTCCATCGATTCAAATCTACGTCATTCGATCAAAGATTCCTACAAGGAACTACGGATATTTGAATTGATCTCTTTAGTAAAGTTGGAAGAAAACAAGGCGGTATTGATCTTTTCATTGCTCAGTTTTGTGATTGTGGAAGAAAACATGGGGAGATTTTGAACTTTAAAAAAAAAAAAAAAATCTCAAATGTTCTACTGCATTGATAAAACTTTGAATATTGAGTCCAATAAAATGAAAATAATAATAAAAAAAAAAAAGAATTTAATGGGTGCATGCAAATATTGCAAAATGTGGAAGAAAACATGGGGAGATTTTGAACTTTAAAAAAAAAAAAAATCTCAAATGTTCTACTGCATTGATAAAACTTTGAATATTGAGTCCAATAAAATGAAAATAATAATAAAAAAAAAAAAGAATTTAATGGGTGCATGCAAATATTGCAAATTTCATCGCATATTATTAAATCGAAAGCTTTTGTGCTTTCTTTCAATGGGCCACTTTCTTTTGTAAAACATTTTCCTGAAAAACAGATTTATAAAGTACTATTTGCACATAGTTATGATTTATGTTATTAAAATTTTTTTAAAGTATATCGAAGGTGTAATTTGCCATTTATTAGATGATAGTTAAAGTAGCTTGAATACTAAATTAACATTTCAATCAACTTATAATTGGGGAATTTATATTTTTTTAAAAAATGATTTCTCTTAGCTGCTTTCCAATTAAGTGTAAAACTATACGAACATGCATTCAAGCACAGTAGTGCCTCGGGTTACGAACTTAATTCGTTTCAAAACTCGGTTCGTAAGCCGAAAGTTCGTGACCCAAAATATTGAAATCAGTAAAATAGAGACAACCCGTTTCTGAATGATTCTGAATCATTAGTTTCAGCAATTTCTCGTTCCTGTTTCATGGCCATCAACTGTCAATCTTTCTGCACCAATAATTTTAAAAAGAAAATGTATGGTTTCTTTTGTTGGAGAAACTTTCTGAAGTGGGACATCATGTTAGGTTTACTGCCCTGATAGCAACACTTTATTTCGTAACCCAATGCACTGTTCGTTACACGAGACATAAAAAATTCGATTTTGATGTTCTTAACGCAAATAGCTCGTGACCTGAGGTGATCGTAACCCGAGGTACCACTGTATTTTAAATGAATTATTGCATTTTAATTTATTAAAAAAAATGTCTGGGGACTATAAAGATTTAAGTTGTTTGACTGAGTTTGGGCTAAAAGGGTGACACAACTGGAGTGAATTTTGATCATATTGAGCTTGGCCGGAGTTGGAGATGTCTCTGGTAGTTATCATGGCTAATTTTGGTGCTCGTCACGTCAAAGTACGAATAGCAATCTCCAAAATCCTTTGAAAAAAAACACTCAATTCAATAATGCGAGTAAATGCATCCGGCATTGTAAATATATAAAACATTTTCAAATGAGATCCCTGCCCTGGTTTTTTTTCAGAGTCTTTGGCACCTGATATGTTTGACCGACACTTACCTCACGCCGATCAATAACGTGTGTGCAGCGTGTCAGATCACTATGTAAATAATGCAAGACAGTACTACGACATGTCAAACTGCCCTGTCCATCACAAAGACAATATCGGATATAAGGCACCACTTATAAAATCAGAAATGCTATATTTTAAAATTTTAAAAAAAAATTGTCTAATTTTTCTCTTCTACACGAACAATGTTTAGCGCCCATTAATTATTACTAAAAAGGATCCTAGTGCTTTAGGCATTGAATTAGTTATCTTCATTGCTTTCCACGTAAGTCTTATAGTGGTGATAACTGTGGTGGTGTTTTTTTTTCTTTAAGTTACTATATTCTGGAGGGGACCCAACCGTTAGACAATCTGCAGCCATGCACAGAAACGCCCATGTCTTACACGGATCCGCCCGTGTGTATCGTACGTACAGCTGTTGTGTCTTGTTTACAATGAGTACAGCGTTGGTGTCTTGTTTACAATGAGTACAGCTGTCGTGTCTTGTTTATAATGAGTACAATTGTTGTGTCTTGTGTATTATGTAAACAGCTGTTGTCTCTTGTGTATAATGTATACAGCTGTTTATGTCTTGTGTGTAAAGTGTACATCTGTTGTGTCCTGAGTATAATGAGTACAGCGTGTGTGTCTTGTGTATAATGAGTAAAGCTGTTGTGTATAATCAGTACAGCTGGTGTGTCTTCTGTATAATATTAACAACTGTTGTGTGTAGTGATTACAGCTGTTGTGACTTCTGTATAATAAGTACATCTGTTGTCTTGTTTATAATATGTAGAGCTGTTGTCTTTGTGTATAATGAGTACATCTGTTGTGTATAATGAATACGGCTGTTGGGGTTTGTGCATAATGAATACAGATGTTGTGTATAATGAGTACATCTTTTGTGTGTTGTGTATAATAAGTACATCTTTTAAGTCTTGTGTATAATATGTAGAACTTTTGTGCCTTGTGTATAATGAGTACATCTGTTGTATAAAATGAGTACAGCTTTTATGTTTTGTGTATAAAAATTACATCTGTTGTGTCTGGTGTATAATAACTACAGCCTTTTGTGTCTTGTGTATAATGAGTACAGATGTTGTTTTTTGTGTGCAATAATTAGAGCTGTTGTGTAAAATGAGTACAGCTGTTGTGTAAAATTAGTACAGCTCTTGTTTAAAATGAGTAAGGCTAGATAATGTCATATGCTGACTCTTCCTATACCACAAACATGGATGTCAATAATGTCATATGCAGACTCTTCCTACACCAACAAAACATGGATGTCAAAATGTCATATGCTGACTCTTGCTATACCAAACACATGTATGTCATAAATGTCATATGTCAAACATTCAATAAATCACACAACGCTCATTGCTAATATTCCGTTACTTTTATAGTTCTCTACAGCTCCAAAATGAAAGGTGTGGAACTGGGTGGCACCATGTGGCCCTGTGTGGCACCGATTGGCATTGTATGGCACCGATTGAAACTGTATGGCACTGTGTGATGAGTGGCACGGTATGACGGAGAGTGACACTATACGGTACGTTGTGGCACTGTGTGACACTGTATGGCTCTAAGTGGCACTGTTTACATTGTGTGATACTTTGTTCCATTGTGTGGCACCGATTGCCACTGTATGGTTCGTTGTGGCACTGTGTGGCACCGTGTGGCTGTTGTGCCATATTTTTATTTGATCAAAGGTGCAGGAAGTGGCAGGCTTTACATATTTCTATTCTGTACAAGAGACTCTTTGTGGCAGCTTGACATATTTCTATTCTGTACAAGAGACTTTTTGTGGCAGGCTTGACATATTTCTATTCTGTACAAGAGACTCTTTGTGGCAGGCTTGACATATTTCTATTTGGTACAAGTGACTCATTTGGGCAGGCCGGACATATTTATATTGTGAGCCTACGTGTGTGGGCCAAGAAATTGTTAGCCTTCGTGTAAGGGCAACGGAATCGTAAGCTTTCGTGTGTAGGCCAAATAATTGTGATTTTCCGTGTGGGCGTCAAGGAAATGTTAGCCTTCGTGTTTGGGCCAAGTATTTGTGAGCCTTCGTGAGTGGGCCAAGGAATTGTGAGCCTTCGTTTAGGCCAAGGAATTGTGTACATTCGTGTGTGGGCCAAGGAATTGGGAACCTTCGAGTATTGGAAATAGAAAAATACTCCAGCGACAACATTAAAAGACAAATGAAAAAGTTGATTTTTTAAAAATTTAGTTAACCACAATTCCAACAGATTTTTTTTACTACAAATAGAATGTCTCAGCTACTGCTTGGATTATACATGAGATATATAGATATACATATATGCAATATTAATAAAGAGGTAAAAAAATGTGTGGCCTTTGATTATGGCCTTTATACCAGTTTATAGTTTTGGCCTTTTATACAGTTTTGATCAAACGCTTACAACCCTTCTGTCAATGAGTTCAGATGACACATGACATTATCACTTTCAAGGGGAATGGCTGCTGTAGATACTCTTTGGAATAGTTAGGGTCACGATAGATCAGAGCTAGCACATGTCGCTATACAGTACGGGGTTCAGCCGTTCTTGTCGACTGGCTATCTTTGCTTGGTGTAGCCATAGCTACCACGAACAGGCGAACTGGCTACCCAGATCCATGCCGTTGAAAATAATTAAAATATTGATTGCTCCTAATTCTATAATCTTCTTACAAACTCATCGGTAGTTGTGATTGGGCTGTGTTTGGGTTGTGACCTAAAATGAAGGGCAAAATATTTGTACACCTAAAATTAATTAATATTACGTTTTACATTAAATCAGAGAACCATCTTTTAAAGAGACACTTACACCTGATAGGATTGTTATTATGTAACCGAGTTATATGGTTTAATCATATATTCTTTTAAAATATTTGTGTAGCTTCTTAAGGCAAATAAATATTTTTATTAAAATCGCCTATACGTAAAAGAGAATGTCAATATTCAACACATTCCAGGCCATGGACATGTTGATTCCGTCCTCACCACAAGGTGGCTAGATGGTTCCTCTCACCTTCCATCAAGGCGTTTAAGCCAACGAGTAAAGTAGCACTCTCATTTCTTTTGACAGGTTAAAGTCTTTTAACTTCCTCTTGAGGTTCTCAAAATCTGCGAACTCCAGGGCTGTTCTATTGGGTGCCCATATTGTAAATGTGTCAACCTCGCTAGAGAAGAAAGATTAGAGATATGCTATTGTGACTGTTTACATGCACTTAGCCGTATGTCAGGCATGTACTTAACAAAATGTCAGGCATGTACTTATCAGTATGTCAGAGGACTTCACCATTGAATTTTTTTATCCAGATATGGATATGGAAATGGATAATAACTGTAGTTTCTTGTGTAGCTTAAAAATGGGTTATTCTTCTGTTGGAAACATCCATTTTCATCTGTCCATGCTTATGTTTATTGAGGACTCTTCGAGGGAGTGGGTAAGGGAATTATCCATTTGCTCTAGAAGGTAAATTATATTTATACTCCCGTATGTAGAAGAAATTTTAAAAAGATTTTAGTAGAAGTCAACTACGAGTAAACTACAAGTCAAATACAAGACAATTACAAGTCAATTAAAATTAAACTGCAAGTTAACTTAAGTCAAATACAAGTCAATTATAAGACAACTACAAGTCAACTTTAACATGTACGTGTTTTTAAAGACATTTTTTTTTTTTTTTAATATTTACCCAAATTTCTCATTTGGAATGAAATGTGTTCCAAATTTTTTACAACAGAATATATAATTAGCACCACTTTACAACATAAATAATTAGCACCACTTTACTACATAAATAATGAATACCACTTTACAATATGTATAATAAGCACCATGTCACAACATATATAATTAGCACCACTTTACAACATGTATAATTAGCACTACTTTACAACATATATAATAAGCACCCCTTTACAACTTAAATAATTAGCACCACTTTACAACAAGTATAAATAGCACCACTTTACAACATGTATAATTAGCACCACTTTACAACAAGTATAAATAGCAACACTTTACAACATGTATAATTAGGACCACTTTAAAAATGTATAATTAGCACCACTTTACAACATGTATATTTAGCACTACTTTACAACATATATAATAAGCACCCCTTTACAACTTAAATAATTAGCACCACTGTACAACATATATAATTAGCACAACTTTACAACATGCATAATTAGCACCACTTTACAACATATATAATTAGCACCACTTTACAACATAAATAATTAGCACCACTTTGCAACATGTATAATAAGCACTACTTTAAAACATAAATAATTATCACAACTTTACAACATGATAAAATATGACTGGAAAAGAACAACAACAGAGTAGGAAAGCATTTCTTGTACAGTGATGTATTTCTTCGCACCTCCTAAAATCTTCCTCTTGATGAGACCGGTGTAGGTAATAAAACGTCAGTCAAACATTTAAGAACTACTTAGTTTACTTTTTAATAAAATGCGGAGACAGTGTAGGGTTTATCGACATCATATCAAATGTGGTTCCCAAAGTATACGTTGTGGTGCCCTGAGAAACTACTGATGTAAGGTCTTTGAATAGGTCACCTCCTACATTTAACTACACACAAGACACAGTAATGGATGGGCAGAGCTGATGTATTTAATAATCAATAGAAATCATTGACAAGTCAATAACAAACCTAGTGCCTAACTTTTACAGTTTAAATTAATCATGTGGGCAATTTCATGGTTGACTCACCCGTCAAGGTATGCCGTCCAAAAGAGTCTGTCGGTAAAGGCACATATGCCTGCAAACGTGTTGACATCAAATAGTGAGTCATCAGTAATGAAGAGACACGTTTGAAGAATTTCGTAGTTCGAGGTGCTGAGATATGAGCCAAACATTGAGTTCAGTGCAGCGTACAGAGACTGGGGAGAAAGGAAATTAGAGTTGAGTGCATGATACAGGGACTGGGGAGAGAGGAAATTAGAGTTGGGTGCATTATACAGGGACAAAGGAGAGAGGAATTTAGAGTTGGATGCATGATTCAGAGACTATCGAGAGAGGAAATTAGAGTTGGGTGCATGATACAGGGACTAGGGAGAGAGGAAATTAGAGTTGGGTGCATGATACAGGGACTAGGGAGAGAGGAAATTAGAGTTGAGTGCATGATACAGGGACTAGGGAGAGAGGAAATTAGAGTTGAGTGCATGATACAGGGACTGGGGAGAGAGGAAATTAGAGTTGAGTGCATGATACAGGGACTAGGGAGAGAGGAAATTAGAGTTGAGTGCATGATACAGGGACTGGGGAGAGAGGAAATTAGAGTTGGGTGCATTATACAGGGACAAAGGAGAGAGGAATTTAGAGTTGGATGCATGATTCAGAGACTATCGAGAGAGGAAATTAGAGTTGGGTGCATGATACAGGGACTAGGGAGAGAGGAAATTAGAGTTGGGTGCATTATACAGGGACTAGGGAGAAAGGAAATTAAAGTTGAGTGCATGATACAGGGACTAGGGAGAGAGGAAATTAGAGTTGGGTGCATGATACAGGGACAAGGGAGAGAGGAAATTAGAGTTAGGTGCATGATTCAGAGACTATCGAGAGAGGAGATTAGAGATGGGTGCATGATACAGGGACTAGGGAGAGAGGAAATTAGAGTTGAGTGCATGATACATGGACTAGGGAGAGAGGAAATTAGAGTTGAGTGCATGATACAGGGACTAGGGAGAGAGGAAATTAGAGTTGAGTGCATGATACAGGGACTAGGGAGAGAGGAGTGCATGATACAGGGACTAGGGAGAGAGGAAATTAGAGTTGGGTGCATGATACAGGGACTAGGGAGAGAGGAAATTAGAGTTGGGTGCATGATACAGGGACTAGGGAGAGAGGAAATTAGAGTTGGGTGCATGATACAGGGACTAGGGAGAGAGGAAATTAGAGTTGAGTGCAGGGTACAGGGAATGGGGAGAGTGGAATTTAGTGTTGTAGAGCATGATACAGGATCTTACCTTGCTACCAAAGAACTGACCTTGCTACTTAAGTACTGACTTTGCTACCAAAGGAACTGACCTGGCTACCAAAGAACTGACCTGGCTACTAAAGAACTGACCTTGCTACTTAAGTACTGACTTTGCTACCAAAGGAACTGACCTGGCTACCAAAGGAACTGACCTTGCTACCAAAAGAACTGACCTTTCCATCAAAGAATTAACCTTGTCATCTAGGAACTGAATTTGCCATTAGTGAATTGAATGTGCAATCATGTCTTTTAGGAACTGAACATGTCATTCAGGAATTGTCTTTTTCATTAAGGATGTGAACATGCCATCAAGGAACTAACACTGCCATCAAAAATGTACTTTGGTACCAATGACATGACCAAGCTACCGATGGAATGAACTTACTTCCAAGAAACTGACTTTGCCATCAAGGAACTGACCTGGTCATTAAGGAACTAAATGTGTCATCAAGGAACCGACCTTGCGATCAAGGAACTGACCATGCCATCAAGGAACTGACCTTTCTATCAAAGAACTGAACTTTTTATCGAGGAACTGGCCTTGTCATTAAGGAACTGACCTTGCCATCAAAGAACTTACCTTGCCATAGAGGAACTGACCTTGCCATTAAGGAACCGGCCTTGCCATCAAGGAACCGGCCTTGCCATCAAGGAACTGACCTTGCCATCAAAGAACTGACCTTGCTATCGAGGAACTGACCTTGCCATCAAGGAACTCCGTACTTTTCTGTTTGAATTTCTTAAAGATCTCCGTGTAGTGTCGGCGTTGGTCTCTCTCCAGACGTGTGTGGTTGGCCAAAAACTGGACCGGCGTCATCTCTGCCAGGCCCACAAAACAATCATTACAATAACTAAACATGTTATTATATTGCAATCAATAAACAATTAAAATTTATTAATATGTATTTCAATTAAAAAATATCTATTACAATTATATTTGAATTAATAAAAATGTGTTACAATTAATAGACATGTATTAGAATCAATGAGTATATATTACGTTTATAAATATAAATTAAAACGAATAAGCAACTCTTACAATTAATAAATGTAGTTTACAATTTATAAACATAGATTCAAATTGTTAAAATATATTACAATTAATAAACTAAAGGTTACAATTAAAATTAAATAAATGAAATTACAATTAAAATTTATTGATTACAATTAATAAACATATATTACAATTGCAACTAATAAACATATATTACAATTGCAACTAATAAACATACATTACAATTGCAACTAATAAACATATATTACAATTGCAATTAATAAACATATATTACATTTGCAACTAATAAACATATATTACAATTGCAACTAATAAACATATATTACAATTGTAACTAATAAACATATATTACAATTGCAACTAATAAACATATATTACAATTGCAACTAATAAACATATATTACAATTGCAACTAATAAACATATATTACAATTGCAACTAATAAACATATATTTCAATTGCAACTAATAAACATATATTACAATTACAACTAATAAACTTATATTACAATTACAACTAATAAACATATATTAAAATTGCAACTAATAAACATATATTACAATTGCAACTAATAAACATATATTACAATTGCAACAAATAAACATATATTACAATTGCAACTAATAAACATATATTACAATTGCAACTAATAAACATACATTACAATTGCAACTAATAAACATATATTACAATTGCCACTAATAAACATATATTACAATTGCAAATAATAAACATATATTACATCGGTTTTTTTAGTGGGAGGTAAAAAATACGGAAATTATTAACCTAATATTTTTTTTTTAATTCGTCATGATAGGGAAGAGCCACTAAATTATTACTTTAAGTTATCATTGTTGATATACCACTGTTGTTTACTCATAGGAGTTTAAGCTTCAATGAAATCTTGATTAATTTAAACGCAACCAAGTACAAATCTCAGATCTAACTACTATGAGATGTTAGAGTATCTTAGATCTAAATATTATAACATGTTGGAATTGCCGAGATCTAACTATAAAAGGTGTGTGAATATCTAAGATCTAGCTTAGCGGTTTTCAACCTGTGGGTCGCGACCCCTAAGGGTCGCCTAAGACCATCGGAAAACACATATACTCTGCAGTGATGAAGTAGCAATGAAATTAATTTCATGGGTGAGGATTGCTACAATTTGAGGAACTGTATCAAAGGAATTTCTTAGATATAAACATTATCAAATGTTATAATATTTAAGATCGAAGTATTATACGATTTTTGTGTATTTAAAAAGTAACTATTATAAGATGTTGGAATGTCTAAGATGCAGCTATTATCGAATGTTGGACTATATAATATTTAACTAGAATAGGATACTGGAATATTTTAGTTCTAACGATAAAAGATGTTGGACTATCTAAGATCTAACGATTACAGGATAATAGAATATCTAATATCTATTATAAGATGTTGGAATAATAAAGGTCTAACTATTATAAGATGTTGGAATATTAAAGGTCTAACTATTATAAGATGTTGAAATATTAAAGGTCTAACTATTATAAGATGTTGGGATATTAAAGGTCTAACTATTATAAGATGTTGGAATATTAAAGGTCTAACTATTATAAGATGTTGGAATATTAAAGGTCTAACTATTATAAGATGTTGGAATATTAAAGGTCTAACTATTATAAGATGTTGGAATATTAAAGGTCTAACTATTATAAGATGTTGGAATATTAAAGGTCTAACTATTATAAGATGTTGGAATATTAAAGGTCTAACTATTATAAGATGTTGGAATATTAAAGGTCTAACTATTATAAGATGTTGGAATATTAAAGGTCTAACTATTATAAGATGTTGGAATATTAAAGGTCTAACTATTATAAGATGTTGGAATATTAAAGGTCTAACTATTATAAGATGTTGGAATATTAAAGGTCTAACTATTATAAGATGTTGGAATATTAAAGGTCTAACTATTATAAGATGTTGGAATATTAAAGGTCTAACTATTATAAGATGTTGGAATATTAAAGGTCTAACTATTATAAGATGTTGGAATATTAAAGGTCTAACTATTATAAGATGTTGGAATATTAAAGGTCTAACTATTATAAGATGTTGAAATTCCTAAAGTCTAACTTTTATTCGGCTTTCATCCATTCTTTAAAGGACCAGTTATTATTGGAGATTAAAGCAGAGCTGTTTACCCCTTCGCTTTTCCGTAGCCGTAGTAACTAAGTTTCTAAGCCTAAGAATACGGCGCTAAAACGAGCCTAAGACTATGGCACTACGACGAGCATAAGACTATGTTGCTACAACGAGCCTAAGACTACGGCACTACGACGAGCCTAAGACTACGGCGCTACGACGAGCCTAAGACTGCAGCGCTACGATGAGCCTTAACAACTCAGGTTGCGAGAGGTGTTTTCATTGGTTTGCTTTAATTTTAAAAGAAAAAGAATTAATGCGGGTGTTTTCAACAACAAAATTACCGCACTAATTGCACATTAGCGCCCACCCCCCCTAGCTACCCCCCCCCCCCGAGTTAGTTCCACCAACCCCGGCGCCACCCAGTATCCGTGAAGACCCCGTCAAGACCCATTAAGTACCCGTCAAATCTCTCATCCAAGTCTCAATATTTTACCTTCCAGAACTTTCTTATTAAAGGGAAGTTCGTATCTGAATGACCGGCATGACGTCTGGAGTCTGTCCATGACCCATGAGGGGATGGTCTCACCCTTCATACCAAGCTGAGGAACAAACAATAGGATGGTGCTGGGTGTGTGAATACAATTGTGTTGGTCGCCCACTTGCTGGATGTTTGAAGAGCATCATATCGGTCAGAGAAACAGTCTATTGTTTCGAGAAGTTGTTAGACGTGTGGAGAGCAGTTAATATAGGGAAGCCTGGCGGTTCGTTAATAGACAATCGCTTATTGTGTGTGCATAGCAATGCTTAATGGTGTAAAAATCAAGTTATTTGTCTTGGGCATTATGAAATACAAGTGCATGATGTGCTAGAGAAGTTGCCCGATATTTGAGATATTAGATATTTGATGTTTATTAGAAATAGCCCTGTCATAGAATTGTCATAACAACTTAGACCAGTCAGATTAATTGTGGGTGATTTATACCTCGAGCCATGCACGCTCTGACTTTCTGGGAAAAATGTAACCCTTTTATTTACCCAGATAATTACAGCCTTGAATATAGAGTGGACCCAGCTAACGACAGACTTTAGAGTGTGGACCCAGCTAACGACAGACTTGACTGAAGAGTGGACCAAGCTAACGACAGACTTGATTGTAGAGTGGACCCAGCTAAAGACAGCAATGAGTTTAGAGTAGACAAAGGTAACAACATAATTGAAAGTAGAATTGTCCCAGATAACGACAGCCATGAGTGTAGGGTGGGCCCAGCTAACGATCACCATGAGAGTAGAGTGGACCCAGCTAACGACAGCCACGAATGGAGATTGGACCAGGCTAATGACAGCCATGCGTGTAGAGTGAACCAGGATAACGACAGCCATGAGTGTAGAGTGGAACCAGCTAACGACAGACATAAGTGTAGAGTGGACCCAGCTAACGATAGCCATGAGTGTAGAGTGGACAAGGCTAACGAATGCCATGAGAGTAGAGTTGACCCAGCTAACGACAGCCCTGAGTGTAGAGTGGACCCGGTTAACGACAGCCATGAGTGTAGAGAGGACCCAGCTAACAAGAGCCATGAGTGTAGAGTTGATCAGGCTAACGACAGCCATGAGTGTAGGGTGGACCCAGCTAACGACAGCCATGAGTGTAGAGTGGACCCAGCTAACGACAGCCATGCGTGTAGAGTGGACCCGGTTAACTACAGTACAGTCATGAGTGTAGAGAGGACCCAGCTAACGACAGCCATGAGTGTAGAGTGGACCAGGTTAACGACAGCCATGAATGTAGAGAGGACCCAGCAATCGACAGCCATGAGTGTAGAGTGGACCCGGTTAACGACAGCCATGAGTGTAGAGAGGACCCAGCTAGCGACAGCCTTGAGTGTAGAGTGGACTCAGCTAACGACAGCCATGAGTGTAGAGTGGCAATAGTGGCCCGGTTAACGACAGCCATGAGTTTAGAGTGGACCCGGTTAACGACAGCCATGAGTGTAGAGTGGACCCGGTTAACGACAGCCATGAGTGAAGAGTGGACCCGGTTAACGACAGCCATGAGTGTAGAGTGGACCCGGTTAACGACAGCCATGAGTGTGAGATGGCTCAAATCCCATTTCCCATTAGCTCATCCAACTAATGGCAGCTTTGTGTGTAGAATTTGCTCATCCCCACCCACAAAACTCTATTCTTCACCCGGCTAACGGCAGTCTTGAGTAAAGAGTTTGATCACTCATCCCCCTCCCCCCTTCCTTTTAGAAGGTTTACTCACTTCTGTAAATTGTATTTTCCTAAATTGGCTCTTGCTGATAATTTCATCGAATTTTGCATATCTTTTAATGACAGGATCTGCCAACTCTTCCTGATCTGTTTTCTTAATCCGTGGCAGGTACATCGTCTTGGCTATCCTGAAATAAGAAAACACAGGGATGGTGCTAGAAAGTACGAGTCATAGTGCAAATTGAATGTACTGGGACACAGGGAGGGTTATAGGAAATTACAGGTCTTTGTGCAAATTGAATGTACTGGGACACAGGGAGGGTTATAGGAAATTACAGGTCTTTGTGCAAATTGAATGTACTGGGACACAGGGAGGGTTATAGGAAATTACAGGTCTTTGTGCAAATTGAATGTATTGGGACACAGGGAGGGTTATAGGAAATTACAGGCCTTTGTGCAAATTGAATATACTGGGACACAGGGAGGGTTCTAGGAAATTACAGGCCTTTGTGCAAATTGAAATTACTGGGACACAGGGAAGGTTGTAGGAAAAAACAGGCCTTTGTGCAAATTGAATGTAATGGGACACAATGAAGGTTCTAGGAAATTACAAGCCTCTTAGCAAATTGAATGTACTGGGACACATGGAAGGTTCTAAAAAATTACAGGCCTTGATGCAAATTGAATGCACTGGGACACTGTTTCTTGCGCAAATTATATATTCTTGGACATTGGATGTGCTGGATAGGACACAGAAAGTTTCTTGGTGCAAATTGAATGTGTTGGAACACAGGACTGGCTCTAGTAAAGTACGGGCATTGGTGCAAATTGAATGTGTTGGAACACAGGACTGGCTCTAGTAAAGTACGGGCATTGGTGCAAATTGAATGTACTGTGGCACAGGAATAGCGCTATGAAAGTGCTGTTCCTTGGACAAATTGAATGTACTGTGGCACAGTGGCACTGTGGACTCTTAGTGAGGTAATACCCTGACTTTTGACCTTACCTGTGATAACAAGTTGTGGACTCTTAGTGAGGTAATACCCTGACCTTTGACCTTACCTGTGATAACAAGTTGTGGACTCTTAGTGAGGTAATACCCTGACCTTTGACCTTACCTGTGATAACTAGTTGTGGACTCTTAGTGAGGTAATACCCTGACCTTTGACCTTACCTGTGATAACAAGTTGTGGACTCTTAGTGAGGTAATACCCTGACTTTTGACCTTACCTGTGATAACAAGTTGTGGACTCTTAGTGAGGTAATACCCTGACCTTTGACCTTACCTGTGATAACAAGTTGTGGACTCTTAGTGAGGTAATACCCTGACTTTTGACCTTACCTGTGATAACAAGTTGTGGACTCTTAGTGAGGTAATACCCTGACCTTTGACCTTACCTGTGATAACAAGTTGTGGACTCTTAGTGAGATAATACCCTGACTTTTGACCTTACCTGTGATAACAAGTTGTGGACTCTTTCTGAAGTAATACCCTGACCTTTGACCTTATCTGTGATAACAAGTTGTGGACTCTTTCTGAAGTAATACCCTGACCTTTTACCTTATCTGTGATAACAAGTTGTGAACTCTTAGTGAGTTAATACCCTGACCTTTGACCGTATCTGGAACAAAACGATGTAGACACTTCAAGAAGTATTCCCCTTAAATTTGACCGTAGCTGAGATGATAAGATAGAGACAATCCCTGATATCCACTGACCTATGACCGTAGCTAAGATGCCAAGATGTGGAAACTTATTGATATAATCAGCTGACCTATGTCGGTTGCTGAGATGAAAAGCTGTGAACAACTACTGAGGTCATCCCCTGACACCTGACCGTAGCTGAGAATATCAAGATTTGGACACTTACTGAGGTCATCCCCTGACATCTGGCCGTAGCTCAGAATGTCAAGATATGGACACTTACTGAGGTCATTCCCTGACATCTGACCGTAGCTCAGAATGTAAAGATATGGACACTTACTGAGGAAAAGACGAGGATCTTTTCGAAGATCTTTCCCTCTCCCATGGCGCCACCCTCAGTGGTTTCTTGAGGCTCTGCTGGATGTGGTGGCTCTCCACAAGGCTGTAGGGAGTCAGACCTTTCAACGGCAATACCCGATCTTGTTTATTTCCATATAACAGAACTGTCAATGTAATGTGATACAAGTATAAGAACAGAACGGTCAATGCAATAAAATACAAGTATAACTGTCAATTCCATGAGATACAAATGTAACATCAGAACTTTCGATGTAAACGCATAAATCTATTACATCAGACCTGTCAATGTAATGACACGCATGCATGAAGCTACTCAACATTCAGCTACTCAACATTCACTTCATATTATTGTTTTCTGTGCCGTGTTGCATGATTTGCTGTTTGGCTTTATTAAGGTCAGCTGTTTTAAGGAGTTAAAATAAAAAGGTTGGAGCGCGTCTTATATGAAATTATAAGAAAACATGTTACACTGTTTTGGAATATTGTTATGGTGTATTGTTATGATATATTGATATATTGTTACGTTATATTGTTATTGGACATTGTTATGATATTGTGTTATGGTATAGCTGCCTAGTGATCTTATTCTGAAAGTTTCCTCAGGGACACGCTTAGTACCATCAGTGTAGTCTATTTCATATTATCCTTGGTATGCCACGGGAAAAGGGGGGGGGGCAATTCTCTGAAACGTTGATGAAATCGCACAATGGTGTCTCATTATAGAGATTGACTACTACCCCCACCCCCCTCATTATAGAGATTGACTACTGCCCCCAGCCCCCTAATTATAGAGATTGACTATTTCCCCCCTCATTACAGAAATCGCACCATGGTGTCTCATTATAGAGATTGACTACTACCCCCACCCCCCTCATTATAGAGATTGACTACTGCCCCCAGCCCCCTAATTATAGAGATTGACTATTTCCCCCCTCATTACAGAGATTAACTACTGCCCCCATCATTATAGAGATTGACTACTGCCCCCCTCATTACAGAGATTAACTACTGCCCCCCCCTCATTATAGAGATTGACTACTGCCCCCCCCCCTTTTTCCCCCGTTCCAACCATATTTAAATTGCGAGTCTTTCATTTCTTTTTCGTTTGATGACCGTTATTATCTATTTTTAAGTGTCAATGCTACCTATTTTGAGAGTTATTTCTTTCTAATGTGACGGACATTTTTACCTAATTTTGAGGGAGTCATTGCCAACTATTTTGAGTTTTTGAATTCATTCAATTGTTTGACCTATTGTAGGTCTACCTGTATACAACCTACGCCATTCCAAAAGTTTGACCAACTGTTTGCCTATTTGATCAAACCTTTCCTAAATTTGTCACTTTTCCTTTCGGATAAAAAAAAAGACAGTTGTCCGATT